TGTACAGTATATAGGCCTAAATTATATACTGTAAGTCTAATACAGTACTGTAATTTTATACATTTCTTGTGAAAAAACATTTCTTATTCAACGGTCATAAAAATTATTTCTATTAATGATGTCTCCAAAGTTCAATGAATTTTTCACAGAAAAATAACTTATCAGAAAATGCAACCGCCATTTGGTGTGCTGCTCCGCAACAAAAACAAGCTTAAACAATGGCGTGGTCAAACAGTGCACACTTGGTAAGTAATCCTACAATTTTTTGTTTATAGCATAGTTTATACAGATTATTCCCAAAAAATTATACATGTTTTGGAAATGTTGAGTGAAATTAGTCTAGAATCGATTAATTTTATGGAAAAAATCTTTCAAACAGCCATAGTCCATAAACTGCACAGGTGCCGGGCTGTGATTGGCTCATGTATTTGAGGATTCCTACAAAGCAAAATTCTTATAAAGCAGAACATATCTACCGCGTTATGGGGGGGGTCGACTGTATAAATAAATATTAATATGAATAAAAGTCACATATAGAAGAGCTGCTTTTGGTGCAAGACTTTCGATATCCTGCAGGATAAAAATAGGGTCAGATTTCACATAAAAATATGGCTTTCATCCTGATATAGTTTCCAACATTCAAAATGATGTAAGTAAAGAAGCAAAACCACTATAGAATGATTTTCACAGGTTCATGCGCCAATTTTTTTTTTGATGTGTTTCGCCAAAAAATAAATTTTTTTTGTTGGGTAGTGTTAACACATCATTTGTACAAATAAAAATATTTTTCATATATTGGAATGAGAGGTCGGTTATGTTTTCCTGAATTTAAAACTTGCAAGACTTATATTAAACTATAAAAGGCAACACTTTTAGTAGTGTTCTTGATTATGTCTAATTTTTTAATTTCGTTATGCAAAATTCTGGACATAATGACAGAGGGCACAAAAAGCTGTCACTATCCATCAGCCATTAATTGCTGATTATAGTGTATAACTATGCAGTTCCTGTGTATGTGTTGTCTATTTTCAATACAGAAAGCTTATGCATCAATGGCAGGCCCTAATACAACAGGAGGATTAGGTGAATCGTAGACCTAAAATTAAAGGAAGTAAATGGGTTATCTGAAATTATATGGTATTTTATGCTTTATAACAAAAGTATTCGTAAAATCTTTAAAAAAGATGGAAAATATTTAAATAGCTGTCGATATGACGTGGAAACTGTGATGTTCACAGTTATAGGTCACGTGATTCCATTCTATCTTTTCGATTTTAAAAAATCGTTCAAAACGAATATTTTTCGTATTTATTAACTTTTCAAATGATTTTTACCTGAAGAAGGATCCAGGAGGGGTCTGAAAACGTTTGTACTATTAATTCTTATTTCACATCAGTTAAAGGTTTTTCTGAGGTGTGTATTATTTAACTTATGCATCAATGAAGCATGTTTTTTAATACCCTAACAATCAACATAATATCTGGTCTGTTGTAATATTGTTTTATCAGTAAGAATTGTTATTGCAATATAGTTTGCTTGTATTTTTAATTTTTTTTTAAATACATTTAGACTATATTTCTAATACATGCTAGAAATTACCTGGAATAGAAACTCTTATTTTATGGCTAGTTTTATATATACAAATTTTAAAAATAATTCAATTTCTTTGTATTTTCTTACAATTTAATTTTACATGTTATATTGTCTCACTTAGCTATTATTCTTAATTTCAAAGATTGTATAAACTAAAATCTTTATATAGTTGACAGTACAGTTAAATAACTTAATCAAATAACTTATAGGATTAAAGTTCAAAAGGATATTATGCCATTGATTAACAACCATGAGTTCAAATAAAATGACCATTGCATTAAAAATATTGTTGAAATTATTACTACAGTAACGACTATTATAAAATGCTGAACCATTGAGTTTTGGGTTTCCACAAAACATTTCAGATGGATCCGTTTCATTATACCCATGGTATGTAATTTTGTTCTGAAAAACTTCCATACCAATAATGGCAAAAGTATAAAACATCACCTAAAAAGTTTTAAATATAAGTTAATTTATATAATATAAATCTCAAAAATATTTTAAAAATAAATTTTAAAGACTTACACATAATACACCACCATATGTCAAGATTGAAGGACCTAAGTTCATAATTGTTACTACAATGACTTGAAATCTGGCAAATATAATTTATGTTTAAATAATAAAACAGCCTGCTTTTACAATGTAAAATTAATATTGTTGCATTAAACTTTATTCATTTAGTATTTTAAAATAATATCTTTATTACTTTTACATTCATATTTATTAAATATTAAAATCAATTTATTAACAATATTGAATATTCCATTTTTATGAACAAATTAGCAATAAGAGTTATAAACCTGTTCGGGGACTGGACAACATATAGATTATAAAAGAAATGTTTTATTTAAAACAGTTTAGAATTAGTAATAATTGTTAAGAAATAAATTTATTTGAATTACAATTAACATATTAAATATTAATGCATAAAGTTCAATTGTTACATTTATCTTGGTATTTTTTAAAGATATCAATAAAACAATTATACAATTTATATAATTCAGGTTTTTGAAGACTGTTTAAATTTTGCTTAAAACCTTGAATATCTTGAACAATTTACATGTATCAGATTGTAAAGAACTATCTTTTAATAAATGTAATATAGAACTCTTTGGAATTACACTGACAATTATTAACTGAAAAATTAATATAAATGTTTCCTATAAATAATGTACAATTATATAACCTTAATTGAATTATTCTTTTAATATTAATCATATTAATTCATAAAGATATTGAATATTATAAATTTGATATTAAAATGATTTAACACTACACTTTAAATAAAATATTAATTATTAGCTGCATTCAGACTACTTTTAGTCATAAATTTTTAATAGAAAATTGAACCATAATTTTTAAAAATCACTTATAACTACTTATTCACAACTTTCTAAAATACATTATTTAAATCAAATATCTAAATCTTACAAAAAGTTTATTAAAAAGTTAGATATAGATAAAGATATTTAGTTTAAATGTTACTTAAAATACTTTTCCTCACATTTTATCCATATGGTCAGCTTTTAACACAAAATAAAATTAACTTCACTACTATTGATAATTTATATAATACTATAAATGGAATGAAAAACAGTATAAAATAATGATAATATATAATCTAAAATAAAAACACACCTGTTTATACCACCTACTATTTTAACAAGTCTGAGTACTCTTAAAACAAGAAGAATATCCAATGTTCTACTTTTATCATCACCTAAAAAAATATTGAACTTATTTAAAAATAATAAAAAATTGATTGAAGTAAAATTTATAAAATTATATTAATAACATTTGTTTTAATTCTAATCGTACTTTCATGTAATATAAACCATTTATCTCAATTTAAGTTGATAAGCAAATAACAAAATAAATGTAGTTATTAATCTTTCTAATACTTTTGATATATTCAAACATGTCAAATGTAATAGAGTGATTAAAAATTCATACAGTATATTAAATATAACATGTATAATGCACACAGAACCAATAACCAGCGTGAATAAAACAAAAATTTAACAACTATCTCAAGACAAATGTTTTCCAACTACTTCTGAGTTCTTCTTCAGGTGCTATAATGGTTACCTAATGGATCATCAGTTAGGAATATAAAAGCCTTTTTTGAAAGAAATATAAAAGCCCTCTCTAACTATACAGTAGATCTGAAATTGTGGCAGACTTCATACGGGCCAAACTCCTCCTCACTACACCCCACACAGAGCACCTCAGATGGCTGGAGGCTATAGAAATCTTTAAAGCTAATTTTGCATCATCCTATATAAATTTTAAAGAGAAATGGTTTTGTCAATGGCCTGGCAGGCTCTACTTGACACAATGATATAGTGGTTGGTTGAGTCGTCGTTATGTGCAGGACAATGAATGCACAGCTTTAAATTTTTATACTCATACTTCAAATTCTGGTTCAAATTTTATACTTCTTTCAAAAAAAGCTTTTATATTCCTGAATGATGTTCTTTTAGGTAACCATTATAGTGCCTGAAAAAGAACTCAGAAGTAGTTGGAAAACATTTGTCTTGAGATAGTTGTTAATTTTTTGTTTTCTTCACACTGGTTTTGGCATCATTATTTCCTGGTCTGGTGTGTTGTAATTTATTACACTGTTTTTTTCAGTTAAACACTGTAAGCTGATTCAAAAATTTTTCTAATGTAGAATATTTTAGATGAATGAAATAAATGCAAAACATTGCCTTTGGCAAAATTATATTTTTTATTTAATAACTTTGTTAATAAAATATTTTATTAACAAACTTATTAATTGAAAGAAATATTTTCAGTCAAGATTTGACCATCCTCAGTTTACAAAACTTATATTTAACACTTAATATTGTTAAAATAATAACTTACATAAAGAAACTCAACTGGAAACACTCACTTTATCCATAAATTAGCCTTTTCTTTATTTCCCGCTACTAAACAACCAAATAGACAAATGTGAGAACCCAGGCTAGTATTTTTGTAATTTTGATGATCTTAATCTTATTTAATTTTTGTTAAAAAAAAAATAAAATTATTTTATTTAGGCTGGAATTGTCAAATTCAATGGAGGAAATTCAAAAGATTTTCCCACCAATAACATTTCCTCTGTGGGTGACACATTTCCTGATAAAACTAGTCATCGAAGGTAATCTTAAAANAATACATGCTAGAAATTACCTGGAATAGAAACTCTTATTTTATGGCTAGTTTTATATATACAAATTTTAAAAATAATTCAATTTCTTTGTATTTTCTTACAATTTAATTTTACATGTTATATTGTCTCACTTAGCTATTATTCTTAATTTCAAAGATTGTATAAACTAAAATCTTTATATAGTTGACAGTACAGTTAAATAACTTAATCAAATAACTTATAGGATTAAAGTTCAAAAGGATATTATGCCATTGATTAACAACCATGAGTTCAAATAAAATGACCATTGCATTAAAAATATTGTTGAAATTATTACTACAGTAACGACTATTATAAAATGCTGAACCATTGAGTTTTGGGTTTCCACAAAACATTTCAGATGGATCCGTTTCATTATACCCATGGTATGTAATTTTGTTCTGAAAAACTTCCATACCAATAATGGCAAAAGTATAAAACATCACCTAAAAAGTTTTAAATATAAGTTAATTTATATAATATAAATCTCAAAAATATTTTAAAAATAAATTTTAAAGACTTACACATAATACACCACCATATGTCAAGATTGAAGGACCTAAGTTCATAATTGTTACTACAATGACTTGAAATCTGGCAAATATAATTTATGTTTAAATAATAAAACAGCCTGCTTTTACAATGTAAAATTAATATTGTTGCATTAAACTTTATTCATTTAGTATTTTAAAATAATATCTTTATTACTTTTACATTCATATTTATTAAATATTAAAATCAATTTATTAACAATATTGAATATTCCATTTTTATGAACAAATTAGCAATAAGAGTTATAAACCTGTTCGGGGACTGGACAACATATAGATTATAAAAGAAATGTTTTATTTAAAACAGTTTAGAATTAGTAATAATTGTTAAGAAATAAATTTATTTGAATTACAATTAACATATTAAATATTAATGCATAAAGTTCAATTGTTACATTTATCTTGGTATTTTTTAAAGATATCAATAAAACAATTATACAATTTATATAATTCAGGTTTTTGAAGACTGTTTAAATTTTGCTTAAAACCTTGAATATCTTGAACAATTTACATGTATCAGATTGTAAAGAACTATCTTTTAATAAATGTAATATAGAACTCTTTGGAATTACACTGACAATTATTAACTGAAAAATTAATATAAATGTTTCCTATAAATAATGTACAATTATATAACCTTAATTGAATTATTCTTTTAATATTAATCATATTAATTCATAAAGATATTGAATATTATAAATTTGATATTAAAATGATTTAACACTACACTTTAAATAAAATATTAATTATTAGCTGCATTCAGACTACTTTTAGTCATAAATTTTTAATAGAAAATTGAACCATAATTTTTAAAAATCACTTATAACTACTTATTCACAACTTTCTAAAATACATTATTTAAATCAAATATCTAAATCTTACAAAAAGTTTATTAAAAAGTTAGATATAGATAAAGATATTTAGTTTAAATGTTACTTAAAATACTTTTCCTCACATTTTATCCATATGGTCAGCTTTTAACACAAAATAAAATTAACATCACTACTATTGATAATTTATATAATACTATAAATGGAATGAAAAACAGTATAAAATAATGATAATATATAATCTAAAATAAAAACACACCTGTTTATACCACCTACTATTTTAACAAGTCTGAGTACTCTTAAAACAAGAAGAATATCCAATGTTCTACTTTTATCATCACCTAAAAAAATATTGAACTTATTTAAAAATAATAAAAAATTGATTGAAGTAAAATTTATAAAATTATATTAATAACATTTGTTTTAATTCTAATCGTACTTTCATGTAATATAAACCATTTATCTCAATTTAAGTTGATAAGCAAATAACAAAATAAATGTAGTTATTAATCTTTCTAATACTTTTGATATATTCAAACATGTCAAATGTAATAGAGTGATTAAAAATTCATACAGTATATTAAATATAAAATGTATAATGCACACAGAACCAATAACCAGCGTGAATAAAACAAAAATTTAACAACTATCTCAAGACAAATGTTTTCCAACTACTTCTGAGTTCTTCAGGTGCTATAATGGTTACCTAATGGATCATCATTTAGGAATATAAAAGCCTTTTTTGAAAGAAATATAAAAGCCCTCTCTAACTATACAGTAGATCTGAAATTGTGGCAGACTTCATACGGGCCAAACTCCTCCTCACTACACCCCACACAGAGCACCTCAGATGGCTGGAGGCTGCAGAAATCTTTAAAGCTAATTTTGCATCATCCTATATAAATTTTAAAGAGAAATGGTTTTGTCAATGGCCGGCAGGCTCTACTTGACACAATGATATAGTGGTTGGTTGAGTCGTCGTTATGTGCAGGACAATGAATGCACAGCTTTAAATTTTTATACTCATACTTCAAATTCTGGTTCAAATTTTATACTTCTTTCAAAAAAAGCTTTTATATTCCTGAATGATGTTCTTTTAGGTAACCATTATAGTGCCTGAAAAAGAACTCAGAAGTAGTTGGAAAACATTTGTCTTGAGATAGTTGTTAATTTTTTGTTTTCTTCACACTGGTTTTGGCATCATTATTTCCTGGTCTGGTGTGTTGTAATTTATTACACTGTTTTTTTTAGTTAAACACTGTAAGCTGATTCAAAAATTTTTCTAATGTAGAATATTTTAGATGAATGAAATAAATGCAAAACATTGCCTTTGGCAAAATTATATTTTTTATTTAATAACTTTGTTAATAAAATATTTTATTAACAAACTTATTAATTGAAAGAAATATTTTCAGTCAAGATTTGACCATCCTCAGTTTACAAAACTTATATTTAACACTTAATATTGTTAAAATAATAACTTACATAAAGAAACTCAACTGGAAACACTCACTTTATCCATAAATTAGCCTTTTCTTTATTTCCCGCTACTAAACAACCAAATAGACAAATGTGAGAACCCAGGCTAGTATTTTTGTAATTTTGATGATCTTAATCTTATTTAATTTTTGTTAAAAAAAAAATAAAATTATTTTATTTAGGCTGGAATTGTCAAATTCAATGGAGGAAATTCAAAAGATTTTCCCACCAATAACATTTCCTCTGTGGGTGACACATCTCCTGATAAAACTAGTCATCGAAGATAATCTTAAAAAAAAAAAAAAAAACTAACTGCCAACTATCTTACCAAATTCGGGCATCAACATAGCAGAGGGAAGACCCTGAATAATAAGAAAGGGGAGAGAAGATCAAAGAGAGTGCTCCTGCCTATTTTTGAAGTGTGAGCTCATCTATGCTGTGCTCCACTGCCAATCTTCCCAATTTCCCATCATTTTCACTGGATCTTAGCCACTCTGAACTACAAACAATTGTTGTGGACATTACATATTCTGGACTTTTAGCTTCAAGACTCATCATAACAAAGCTTTCCCTTCTTCAGGACGTCCAAGTGATCATTGAACATCACAGATCCAGGTATTTATTGACCCACATAAGCAGTTGTAAACACTCTCTCATACAGGCACATATAAAGGTTTATACTCTCTTTCTATTTATATTTTTCTTTGTAAATTTATATTTACTTGAAAAATAAATATTTTTTGTTTTAAGGTTAAATGCATTGTTCATCTGTTTTGTTGTTTAGTAGCTGGAAATAAAGAACAGATTAATTTATGGACATAGCAAAATAATAACTATTTAAGTAATAGAGGTTCCCCATTATCCAAAAGTAGAGCATTCCTGTGTAACATTTCATAAATCACACTGGTATAAAGCAAAGAAGAAATTACCATTAATTTTATAAGAAAAACTTGTGTGTGTTTCCCAGAGTCAAAATTAATTTACCAAATTATACCAAATAATATATAAAGTCTAGAATAATACTAAAATATAGTGAAAACAGGAGTAATATGAGAAATGCACAGCCTATATACAGTAGATATGTACTTTTATTAACTACACCAGAAGTACTTCCTCCAGTAAGTATTCTTTAAACTAGGAAACTGCCCTCTCTGAAAACTGATTAAATCATCCATGAATCCCTTTGAATTCCATTTTTGCAATACTGTCATCACTATTGTCCATTCTTGTTGTTTTGGCTTACCGAAAACACTGGCCGATTTCTTTGTAAGTAAAAATAACTCAAAGAATGCCACACTTTACATATCCATCAATACACTCAAGCAAGATACTTTCCATTTTACTGTTTTATTTTTGCTAATAGATGCACAGAATAAATCAGCATAAAGCACAGAAGCTCAGAGACAAGGTTCAAAGCTATGGTGGCTTGATGCAAAATGTAGTTCCCAGGGAAGGAGCTTGGAGATGCCTCTTGCTACTCAGGGTTCACAATGCCTATAAAATGGCTCTATGCAAAACAAATGCTAAACAATATTTTTGTCTTATGCCTTTTTTCACAAAAGTGAAAATCCTATTTGGATTTTTTTCAGTTATTGATAACAGGTACTAATATAGATTTTTTTTTTATATGAGTAAAATGGTATAAAGTGAACTACTGTAAAGCAGGGGATACTTTTATAGTTCTTATTGATTGTTACATGAATCCTAAATGATGCAATTATACACTTAGAAGGTTAATTTAATTATATCTAATTAAAAATAATAGTTATTGTGATGTTAAATATATATAACACATACCAGTATCTCCTATAGCAGTTTCAACTGCAGTTGCAACAACTGCAGCACCAATTACAACAAAATCAAATCTAAAAATAGAGTTTAATAAAAGATTATTCATTGTAATATTTAATTAAAGAAATTAAAATGAAATAAGAAAAGAACTTTTACATATTCCATAATTTCCGAAAAAATTCTTTGATGCCAAATGTGTATATTTTTGATATTATTTCAAACATAAAAAGAGCGAGAAAACACCATTCTGCTTCATTTATATCAGCAGCAATTAATCCAGCATTCAATAAAATAAAAATGTCAAATAAATATCTGAAATATCTGAAAAAATTTAAAATTACAATAATTAACTATCTTATCTAATATAGAAAAGCTAAATATAGCATTTACAATTAGAATATTAATTATGAAATTAGAATATTAATGAATAATAAATTTATGATTGTGTTTCATATACATTGGTAATTTGCTTATTTCTACAATTCTCTCACTTCCAATTTCTGAGACAAAGAAAAATATAATATTTTCCTATATTTCATAAAAGCTTTCTTCCTGTTACGATATAGATATCAACTAAAGTTTTAAAAAATTTGCTTGTGAAAATCTTAAAACATTTAGAAAATAGAAAATCCTATTAACTAGAAATAAACAGATATAATTATATATACATATATCTATGTATATGTATAATATATAATTAATAATAAATATGTTAATATTAATGTTAATTAATATTAATAATAAATATGGTATATATACCATATTTATTCGCATATAAGACGAGGTTTTTATTCATTTATCACAGCTTCAAATTCCTATGTCCTCCTATATGCACCAGCGAAAGATTCTTTGCATTTTTGCAAATAATTTTTTGAACCATGTATTCAAATTTTTTACCAGAAGCTTACTCCCTTGTATTTAAAAATATAAGTATTTTATCTGGGTCATTTGAATCTTTCTTGTATACTGTCAGGAGTAAAGATGAATAGCAATAGGAAAAGCAAAGCTCATGAATTGAATTCCAGATTGAAATTCCAAAATCACTCAGGAGCCCAATATAAGTTTTAATTCATTCTCAGGTTAAAACAGATGATTATTCAGAAATCAGAATTTGGAGAAAGTCATAAGTGTAAGCGATGGATTGGATTCAACTGTTAAGAATTGGCAAAAAAGATTCTTGTCCAGCTTTACAGGAACAAATTATGTTGATTTTACATGATTTTTCCTTAAAGTTTAAAATGCCAGTAATTTTTGTAGGACAGTGTGTGCATTTACATTTATTTGATATTTTACTTGATTAAACAAAATAAAATTAGAATTTTATTAATAAATCTAATTTTTCTTTATTTTGATCTGTAAAGTCACACCTCATTTTATATGTGAGGTCGTCTATATTTGAGTAAATATGGTATAACTTTAGTTAATATCTATATGGTAAAAAGAAGAAAGCTTTTATTTTCTTTTTATTTCCTATATTTTTCTTTATATATATATAAGAAAAATATCTTACATATTATATATATGTATAAGCATTAAACATATACTAAATACCAAGTTATAAATATTCAGGAAACAACATATTAGAAATAATACAATAGAAAACAATTTTCTTTAAGAAAAATTTCTTTCTGAATCATAGATAATATATTAAACTAACAATGAAAACAAAGTAAAAATAACAACTTTTATGAATGAACAATATATCTACTTTATTGAAGTACTAGAATTATATATAAATAATGTGTGAGATGAATTTTGAAACCCTAGTACTTTCAAGTTTTAAAACTCATTTTCAGGATAGAAATATAGCAAGACCCTGCTTAACCCTGTCTCAATTAATGCTGATTCGATATAATGCAGTCTGCTCAAAGCCTTAAAAAAAAAAAAAGCTCAAAATTTACGTTGATTCAAATTACCATGGTATTTCATTGATTTGTATATAATATGATTATTTACAAACATGAACCAATCAGTAAAAGGTGACAATTCGTTGTAGCGTTGTACTTCCCTTAAATCTATGTTTGTTTTATGCAATTTTGAAAAAAATATACCATCATGGATGACATAGGAAATATCAACTTCCCCTTTATTACTGAACAGAACTGAAAATGTACATGTGTTTTAAACAAGTTAGGGACTCATATTGGAACAGACCTAATATTTACCAGAGATATTGCAAGTTAGAATTTTAAAAGTACACTTCCTGTCACTCTTAGCCTGGGGATAAGTTTAAGTGAGGGTTTGAAGTTAAAGTGTTTAACCGCTAAAATAAAATACTCGCAAATATTTTTATAAATTTGTTTTATCATAATTTCACATTTCTACGAAAACCAGACAAATTAATAATCAATCTGGTCTATGAATTTAAAAACTGGCCTGGTCGCAACACTATACCTGGACTTACTTTAAATAAGTGTCCTACAACAACTAACAACACTAGTTAGTCATTAATAATGTCTATCTCCTGAAATCCCTTATTATAATTCTTAAAAATACTAAAATCTTAAACTAGCATGATCTAAAGGAACATGGTAAAATGCATCTAAATACATGAAGTTTTTTTAAAAAAAGTATATGAGTTTGTTTGCTTCAAAACTACAAATAAAACTTCCCTTCATCCAACCAGAAAATTCTTTTCTCTGTTTTTCATTATTATTAATTTAAATTATTTTCCCTTTTTATTTGTTAATAAATATATTCCAGTAGTTAACTTTTCATATAAAGCTTTCTCATAGATAACATGTACAGTACATTACATAATTATTCCAATTAAAGAAGCCCAGCAGAATAGTAGTTAATAAGTAAAACCTAACTTGCCATAACAACTATCAAATTCTTGTGAATGGCAGTCTACTTAGGTAATTTGGATTTCAAACTCTTTCATATCTAAATATGGGATAATGGAAATGCAACGATTTATTTGTAGGAGATAGTAATAATCAAGTGTTTTCTTGTGAGAATATTTTGTTCCTTATTTTTAAAAATGAGCTATTTTTGAAGTTTTTTTTTAGATATAGTGGTTTATGCTAGGGAATATGAAAATGAGATATTAAATATGAAATATATGGCAAATCTACTCTGAATATAAAATTATTGTTGACTACAATTAAAAAAAAATTATTTCTGTGGAACATACATTGTGCTTTTTTCTACATATTTTAAAATTTTCATAATATATTTACATATAAATAAATATTTAATTTTTGTATAATTATTAAATTTATCAGGAGATAGTGCCTAATGCCTATCTCTAGGAAAAAATTACTGAATATTTAATTATTAAATAGTAGCCATACTATATCCCAATATAATCTGGCAGATTGTTTGACTTTAATCAAAAATCAGGTTACTAGATGTTTATATTTGTTTACATACATATTTCAAGGATTTTTGTAACATATAAATTTGGGCTTTAATTATAATATTGTATCTATTAAATTTGGTGCTTCATTTTGAATATATTTTATTCTACATTAAAAATAAAATTAAAAATAAAATTATTATAAAAATTTTATATTTGAATTATTTTTGTCCTTTTTTTTTATATATATAATTATATTAAATAGTTCTTAAAAATAAACTTTTTATTTTTAAGAAGTAGAGTAAGGAGTTTGGTGACACTTCAAAGTCATACTTAATGCTTTGAGCTGGCCATGCTTGTTGCTATACATCACAAGAAATATTTAATTCTTGAATATTTATTTACTCTGAACTCAAAAGATAACAGTTAAAACTGTGATTACATAACAACAAAGAAAAAAAAACCTTTATTGGCACTCTCTTATACTGAATAAGTTATTTAATTTAAGGTGAGATCCAATAAAGTATTTTTTTGTTACTATTTAAAGAATTTGGAGTTGTTTTCATTACTAAATAAATAAATAAAAAGTTTATGTCCTTACTTTATAAAGGTTCATACAGTTATGATAAAAACAATAGAATAATTGAGTCTCTCTAGATAAAGATCTTGAAGATTTCATGAAACTTAATTTTTGGGTAAATTTAAGTGTACCCAAATATCTTGAACTCTTTCCTCAGATAATTTTATTTGTGAAACTCTTTTTTGTTACACATAAATGTAATGGACCACAATTCCATAAACTTAAAACATTTTGACTTGCATTTTTTCCCATAAACTGTAGCCTTAAAAAAGAAAAGTTACAGAAAATTATGAAAGTTTTCACTATTAAAATTCTCTATTTCCTAGTGTAAGAAATTTCAGTTATTACTTAATTTATTTTAAACAACAATAGCAAGTTAACACTATACTTGGCAATTGGTGACACATGCTGTTAGTCAAACTAGTTCATGGTGTTGTCAAACTTCTTGCTCTACTTGTCATGAGTAAATATTTTATTAAAATTATCTGCATTTTGATAACCTTTTATACTTAATTTGGTTTCTAAGAAGAAAAGAACTGAAACTTTTTATTTTCAATCATCAAAGTATATTCAAAGCTTGTCATTACCTTTATGCATAAACAAATCAAATCCTTACTTAATTTTTATTAAGCAGTGGTTTGTTTTATTTTTTGATTCAATTATTATTTATAGTACAAACTATTGTGTAATTCATTTATTTTATTTTCAATTTTATTATACATTTTAAAATATATATTGCTGTCTAAATTAGATGATAAAATTCATACATTAAATTTCATAAAAAGTTTTGATTATAAATAATACTTTTGATAAACTATTTGGCATGTAATATAGAAATTTAAAAGGTATGTTCAAATTTTTATAAAGGTTTTACATTGTATTTTATCTGACATGCAATTTATCTGAAGACCATTATTCATACAGATAAAAATGTTTTAGTTTAAATAAATAAATTTTTAAACTTAACATTTGGATATATTCCAAAAGAATATAATGATATATTCAAAAATAATAATAATTATTAATTTTGAATGCTTGGACTATATCTTTATTCCTTAACTACATTAATTTATTTCTATTTAGTTAACTTTAAAGACCTATAAAATTAACTTTTCATTGACAGAAAGTTAAATGTAATATGATAAAAGTATGAGCTGAATTTAATAATACATCATAATAAGCTCTTTTGAAAAGTGCATTAAATTTTAAAATCTATATGTTCATTATCTTATTTAGAGAACACATTGAAGAAACTAAACAAGTGTAAGATATAAAAATCTAATTTGTGGTGATTTTGTTATTGAGATATAAATTTAAACATTTTTACCATATTTGAAAATCATATATCAAAATTACTTTAAAATTTTAATTATATTCAAATTTACAAAACTTACTTATGAGAAACAGCAGTACGGAATAACTTTGAAGCTTTAGAGTGATAAAATTTTGGCATGACTTTATCAAATATTGTTTTTCTATCTTTAACTTCAGAAACAGCAACATTTAACAGATCAGCTAAATGCAAAAAATCTGCTTTTCCTACAATTAAAAATATATATTTTATTGAAGTAAATTAAGCAAGTATAAAATTACTGTAGCAAAAATTGAAGTTAAACATGTTATTAAATTTAAAAATGGTTGGACTAAATTTTAATACATCTTTATTAAAGGTTATAATAGAATAAAAAATTCTTTATAGAAATAATCTTGTGAAAATGTACAGCGCGGACAGGAAAACACAGACACGTTTTACTAATTAAACAAGTTTAATTTTGCGCTAACATTAATATATATACAGAATAAGTTCAGATTCCCGCTGTTTACCTACAAACGTTTCCAAAATCCCGAGCGATCAGATATACCAATAGACCGGTAGTTTCTATCTTGGTAACTACTTCCCTACAAATTTAGTTGTGTGTGTAAACTTAAACTAACTTAAAACTAAATTAAACTAAGAGATAGAAAAGATAGAAAGGGAAAATAAGAAGAATTAAAGGACAGAGGGTACCCAATTTTCCTGTTGGTTCTCCACCGTTCCTCGTCTCTGCTTCGTTCTCGTCTGTTCTCCTTTTAGAACGATTTGGGTCCGTTTTGGCGTTTCTCTTTATAATCATCGACCAGATTCTTCTGTCGATCCGCTTATTACGGCCTCCTTCTGCAGCACTCCCCAACTTTCCGTTCCCAAGCCTGCTGCCACTCGTCTCTCGCTCTCTGAGTCCAGCCTAAGAATGCTCGAAAAACCCTTTGTTTTTCGTCTCTTCCAGCCCCGTTTTCTCCTTTTGTTCTCAGGCTACCCCCTGACGGGTTAGGGGTGAGGTCCGGACTCTGAGGTTCCTTTGTCTCGGACTTCCTTTGTCTCGGAAGTCCGAGACAAAGGAACAAAGAAATCGGAAGGAAGGAAAATTCTAGAATTTAAATTAAACTAAAACTATACGGACTAATAATAATAATAACAATATTAATAAAAGAAAACAGGCGTGTAGCCACAATCTAATTAAATTTAATATAAACTAACTTTAGACTAAAGACAATTTATTTTACATTTAATAGCATATCTTGGGATCTTATACCTTTTATTGTTTTATTTTTAAAATAATGTGAACCAAACTGAAAGAAACACGTCAAAATCACTGCTAGAAAGAGTGAGTAAGGCTATAGTTTTGTCATATAGACTCTATCAGAAGCCAAAGCAGAATTTATTATAAGAATAAAAGCCAAAATAAATAAGCAACGAAATTAAGTCAACAATTAAGTGCCCAATGCAGGATCAATTATTTCTGTTTATGCTAAAGATCCAGTCATTAATACTAATTGTCTTAATTTTGATATTCATGTGCATTGACATTAATTGATAGAGAAACTAGACAATCTAGAAAGTATAATAAAATTTTATTGGTTTTATGATATTTTAAAAATTTGAAAACGAAAGATGAATTCTGCAATGTAAAAATAGATTATTATTGAATAAGTCATTTGATTTACAGTTGAATTAAAAATAGAGTTTGATCAAAAATCCATCTTTAAGATTTAAAATTAGAACAGGAAAAATCTTCTTTTGAAACATGTAGATCAATATCTTTTAAAATACTTGGTATGTTATAAATTTTGCCAGTTATAGAGTCTCTTTTGAAGAAGAAATAAAATACTTGTTTTGATTGAGAGAAAAATGTAACAGTTTTATTTTCTCTTTCATTCAAATTTTTTTAGATTTATTTACTATTAGAGGATCTGCTTCCAATCACTTTCAGAGATCTAACCATGGTGGCTTTGCATCGTTTAACAATAAAGAGACCACAAAGGTAAAACAATAAATCAGTAATTTTAAATTTCACCTAAGAAATGAGTAAAATGAAAAAATGGAGACTGCTTACACCAACAATAAATTCTGCATTATATCATTATAAAAGAGAAATATGAATTTGTCACTAAAAAAGTTTGGTTATATGATACAGAATAAACAAGTCCAAAGACATACTGTATATTACTAACACAATTATATTATTATTCAATCTGTTATTTTAATGTGAGATATTTTGTATATTATAATTTATTTTAATATTGTAAATAATTAAAAAATTACAAGTATAAACAAAATGAAATTGAATTATGTTTTTTATATAATTTTATTTAATTAT